AATGGCCATACTGGGTCAAACCAAAGGTCGATCTAGCCCAGTATCTCGTCTTCTGACAGTGGCCAAAACCAGGTGCCCCAAGAGGAATGAACAGATCAGGAGATCATCAAGTGATCCATCCCCCATTGCCCATTCCCAGCTTCTGGCAAACAGAAACTAGGGACACCATTCCTTTCCATCCTGACTAATAGCTATTGATGGACCTATCCTCCAGGAACTTATCTAGTTCTTTTATGAACCCTGTTATAATCTTGGCCTTCACAACATCCTCTGGCAAAGAGATCCACAGGTTGATTGTGCAGTGTGTGAAAAAACTACTTCCTTTTGTTTGTTTTAAACCTGCTGCCTATTAATTTCATTTGGTGACCCATGGTTATTGTGTTATGAGAAGGAGTAAATAACACTTCCTTATTTACTTTCTCCACACCACTCATGCATTTTATAGATGTCAATCATATTCCCCCTTAGTCATCTTTTTTCCAAGCTGAAAAGTCCCAGTCTTATTAATCTCTCCTCATATGGCAGCTCTTCCATACCCCTGATCATTTTTGTTGCCCTTTTCTGAACCTTTTCCAATTCCAGTGTATCTTTTTTGAGATGGGGTGACCACATCTGCACGCAGTATTCAAGATGTGGGCGTACCATGGATTTGTATAGTGGCAATATGATATTTTCTGTTTTATTATCTATCACTTTCTTAATGATTCCCAACATTCTGTTCACTTTTTTGACTGCTGATACATATTGAGTGGATGTTTTCAGAAAATTATCCACAATGACTCCAAGATCTCTTTCTTGAGTGGTAACAGTTAACTTAGACTCCATCATTTTATATGTATATTTGGGATTATGTTTTCCAATGTGCATTACTTTGCATTTATCAACATTTAATTTCATCTGCCATTTTGTTGCCCAGTCATCCAGTTTTGAAAGATCCTTTTGTAGCTCTTTACAGTCTGCCTGGGACTTAAATATCTTGAGTAGTTTTGTATCATCTGCAAATTTTGCCAGCTCACTATTTATCCCTTTTTCCAGATCATTTATGAATATGTTAAATAGGACTGGACCCAGTACAGACCTTGGGGGACACCACTATTTACCTCTCTCCATTCTGAAAACTGACCATTTATTCCTACTGTTTGTTTCCTCTTTTAACCAGTTACCAATCCTTGAGAGGACCTTCACTCTTATCCCATGACAGCTTACTTTGCTTGAGAGCCTTTGATGCGGGACCTTGTCAAAGGCTTTCTGAAAATTTAAGTACACTGGATCCCCCTTGTCTACATGCTTGTTGATCCTCTCAAAGAATTCTAGTAGATTCATGAGGTATGGTTTCCCTTTCCAAAAACCATGTTGACTCTTCCCCAACAAATTATGTTCATCTATGTGTCTGACCATTTTGATTTTTACTATACTGTAGTTTCAACCAGTTTTCCCAGTACTGAAGTCAGGCTCACCGGCCTGTACTTGCCAGTATCACCTCTGGAACCCTTTTTTAAACGTCTGATGTGCCTCATCCCTTTTTGCTCCTGGTAACTGGTGAGGTGGCTGTTTAATTGGTCGTTTTCTCCCAGAATCAATCTCGCCTTGGACCAGTGCAGTAAAACCTGTTGGGCCCAGTCCGATTCAACAACTCCTAATTCCTAACCAGAAAGTCTTGACTTAGATTTTTCTGCTGCTACCCATTTAAGCTGGAACAAGCCCAGTTGAAGCAGGGGTGGATTAGAGTTTTTTGGGGCCCCTGGGCCAGAGCAAGCAGGGTCCCCTCCTTATAGCTTCTACGTGCAGTCCCATCCCACCCCCCCACACTGACCCCACGCCACTCCTGCTGGAGAAAAGAGGTCGGGGCGCGGGGGCTTGCCCTGCTTTGCCTGCCCAGCACCCTGACCCTGCTCTTCGGCAGAAGCACTGGGCAGGCAAAGCAGGTCGGGGTGTGGGGGTGCCCATTTTCCGGGAGCCCCCAGGTGGCCAGGGCCCCTAGGCATAGGCCCTGTTGACCCAGTGGCTAATCCACCACTAAGTAGAAGCTCTTGGAGTTCACCTTCATCCCTTCCCCCTTATAGTCTTTTTTAATACCGGGTCCACTGGCTCATATTTCACAGCTGCCATTCCCTTTTTTACAATTTGCTGCTTGTCAGAAACTTTCAGCAAATGAACAGGGATCAGTCCTTGTTACAGATCACCAGGAGCTTTCCTGCCTCTTCCTTTCTCTGTTCTTGTCTGTTCTCGGTTTGTGGGTGATCTCTCTCTACCCAACACAATACTCATGCAAAAGCTCTTGGGCAGGTTCACACACACCATTTGTCTTAAGTGGGGGCTTATGCTTAAATTTATGTTAATTAGAGGGTGAGTTAACACCTATCAATCTCAACCCATAACAAGGTTTCACCCAGCTCATAAGAGTGGGAATTATCAAGACATAAGAACATAAGAGCTGCCATACTGTGTCAGACTATGGTCCATCTTACCCATTTCCCTGTCTCTGACAGTGCCCCATAAACTCTGGTATGGGCGAGCATACAGAACAAAGCAATTGTGGCATGATCTACCCCTGTCTTCCACTCCTGGCTTCTGGTAGTCAAAGGTTTAGTATTGGCCCAAGTGTGGGGTTTCATCCCTGACCATCATGGCTAATAGACATTGATGGACCTATCCTTCATAAATGTATCCAGTTCTTTTTTGAACCCAGATATACTTTTGGCCATCACAACATCTCATGGTAATCCATTCCACAGCTTAGTTGTGTGAAAAGGTACTTTCTCTTGTTTGTATTAAACCTGCTGCCTATTAATTTAACTGGGTAACCCCTGGGTTTTGTATTGTGTGAAAGGGTAAATAATACTTTTCTAATAACTTTTTCCACACCATTTATGATTTTAGAGACCTCTATAATATCCCCCACTTTGTCATCTCTTTTTTTAAGCCATTCCATACCCCCGTTTATCTTTATTGTCCTTCTCTGAACTTTTTCCAGTTCCACTATATCCTTTTTTGAGATATGGTGACAAGAATTGGATGCAGTATTCAAGGTGTGGGCACACCAGGGATTTATATAGTAGCTTATGATATTTTCTGTCTTATTTTCTATTCCTTTCCTAATAGTTCCAAACATACTGTTAGCCTTTTTGACTGCTGCTGCGCATTGAGCAGAATTTTTCCGCAAACTATCCATGGTGACTCTGAGATCTTTTTATTGGGGTGGTAATAGCTAATTTAGAACCCATAATTGTATATGTATAGTTGAGATTGGAAAAAATAATGTGCTTTGCCCTTATCAACATTGAATTTCATCTGCCATTTTGTTGCCCAGTCACCAAGTTTTGTGAGATCCCTCTGTAACTTCTTGCAGTCTGCTTTGGACTTAACTATCTTTAATAATTTTGTATTGTCTGCAAACTTTGCCACTTCACCATTCCTCTCCTTTTCCAGATCATTAATGAATATGTTGAACAGCACAGGTCCCAGCATAGATCCTTGGGTGAGCCTGCTCTTCACTGCTCTCCATTGTGAAAACTGACTATTTGTTCCTACCCTTTGTTTCCAATCTTTCAACCAGATACTGATTAATCAGGGATGTTCTCCCTTATTCCATGGCTACTTAGTTTTCTTAAGAGCCTTTGGTGAGGGACCTTGTCAAAGGCTTTCTGAAAATCCAGCTACACCGTACCAATTGGATTACCCTTGTCTACATGCTTGTTGATTCCACCAAAGAGTGCTAGTAGATTGGTGAGGCATGACTTCTGTTTACAAAACCATGTTGACTCTTCCCCCAGCAAATCATGTTTACCTATGTGACTGATAGTTCTGTACTGTACTAAGACAGTAGAAAAGTAGTAGAAAAGATGGGTAAATTAAAAACTCAATTTTTAAGGAGAGCAAACTTGAAAGCAATTTTTACAATAGCATGTAAGTGGTTTCTCCTCATATCATATGTTGTTTTTTGTGCCACACACAGTGTACTCTATCTGACTAATAAAAGGCTGACACAGAAACCATCTGAGGTTCTCTTCTGATCCAAAGTAAATAATTTGCTATACAAATAAACTGAAAAGTTTTTCTTGCCTAGAGAAACATTATGAAGCAGAGATAGATTATAATAAAGAGGATAAGGGAAAGTTGTTGCAGCCTGTAATTCTAACATAAGCAGGAGAACATTATTTATAGAAACTTTAAATGCTTTTGAATTCAGAGATTCAACAAATCCCATCTGTAATGAGCTGCAAGAAATAGCCTCAACACTGCTACATACTTCAGACTATAAAATAAAATTTTAAAAATGCAAATGTTAGCTCAAATTTTGGGCCTGCATTACTCAATGTACTTTTGACATTACTTGACCATAATTATTGTTGTTTACTAAAAGCACAACATAATTTAAACAGTTATGAAAAGTTTAAAAGTTTTCTTACTGTGTTGCCTTGCTTCAGGTCATAAAAATATTTAACTCATACTAAATTTTTGTACAACAAAACAAAACCAAAATCCCTAAAACTGAGATTGCAATGGAATGAAAATGCTCCAGAGATAGATTTCTCATGATGTATTGATATACAACATGTGAACATTGATTTTGAGATTTAAGAATAAAATGGAGGAAATGATTAAAATAGGGCTCGTCTTCTGTGAGCAGAACTGAAATGAGCTGGAATTCCGTGTTCAAAGGGTTTGGGGTGTTAAGTGAATAGCAATATAGACTGACCCTGCAGCTGCCTTTGCGTGGATGGACCTGTGCCTCTGCGCAGTGCTGGTATGTGGGATCCTTGTGTCTGGGGTTCCACACAGGCACAGGAGTTCCACCGACATGGTTCTCTTTACAGGATCAGGGACTTAGAATATGACTAATTTTCTCATCAAGTGAGATGTAAAATTAAGTTAACTGTCATGGAAAATTAATCTGATTACGCTGTCTGATTACTGTAAAATCAGAATCTGCATATGCATTATGATATAGGGGATATTTTTGACTATGTCCTAAAACTTTGTGTGTGTTTTTTTTCCAGAGGTGAAGACAAGGATACATTTGGCACTCCTTGAATATACAGGTACTTTTAATGGGCTAGTTTCAGTCTGAGGTTTGGTTTTTTGTTTTCTTTTTGAAGCACTAGAATGTCTCTTCACAGATGTTTTATATTTGTGTTATGAACCCAGAGAAGGGGTAAGTGGAAGGGAGGAATAGAGGAAGGGAAGATCCCAAATCCATTGACCACAACTTGGAATGTGAAGTTTTACCCTTACTATGTACACTAAGCGTTCCCGAAGGCAATGGCAATTTTAAATGAAAACTCTAGTAAGTGAGAGACAATACAAACTAAATATTTATGTTTGGTTTTCAAAATAACATCCCTCACTTATTTTGGATCTCAGCAGGTGAAGTGGCTGCCAAAGCACTGAACTGGTACACAATATTTTTGCTATCTTTTCTCCTCTGCTTTTCTGTACCTATCTTAATTTTCCATCATTTCCTTTCTTCCTTTCCTTTTCTTTCCTCTCTATCTCCAGCTTCCCCTGGCCCTAGTTTCCTTGTTGTTCTCGTCTTTCCTGCCTATCCCTGTCCCTTCTCTTTTTTAACCTAATTCTTCAGAATATGATGGATTTAAAAAAATTATCACCCTGCTTTTTGGCAATGGCCTGCATTTTCCATGGACTACTTTGCCACAATTTCACACATTGGTAACAACATGAAATATGCAAACGTATTTACAAAATAATGAGTAAAGGGGCATTCAATATTTAGGAGAGAATGCTCATGGCAGAAGAGTGTACAAGGCAATCTGCAGCTTTCGCAGATGGTTAAATTGCAAGTGAAGCAGAGACATTTGACTATAAAAAGCCAATTATTGTTACCATACTCCAACACCGTGCAAATGTATTCCTGTTATACAATTTAGACAAACCACAGCATTAAATAAAAGAAAAGTAAAGGTCCTTTCTTTTAAAGTTTGGGCTTATAATTATTAATAATTGTACAAAAGTTTTAAATGGAGTGGCCAGTGCAGAGAAGGAGTGACATAACTGGACACCTGAAGGGCATGATTTTAAAAACTCCTATTTTGCAGATACAATTAACGGAAGGCACAAATGATAGCAAATAGACTCCTAGCTATAAGACTGTATATGCAAATCAGATGTCTACATGTTATAATTTGTGCCCACAATTAATGGAGGCTGCAAAATGGGAGGTCAAGCTGAGGCCCTTTTATGAACCCATGCCCATAATGTCTATAAGAAATTCAGTATCGTTTGTGAGAAGAAAACATTTGATTTTTCTGATATGTGACTGGCTGAAATCCTTCTTTGGTAATATTCTGTTGCAATCTTTAAAGAACACATAATCCCCAAAGAGGCCAGAGAGCTTTCTGAAAGAAAGAAATATTTAGTTTTACTTTCTTATAAGGCTGAAAAAAATAAAAGTTTAATTTTATAAAAGAATAATTGCAGGGCTTGCATCATTTTACAGATTCTACAACTTTAGTTTTTATAGAGTCTCTCATAAAAACTATCACTAAATGCTATTAAGTTCAATATTAAACACAGTGTTAAAATATATTAGACAAATTTGAAAATGTGGGGGTTTGGTGATACAGGAAGGCTGCATCAGAAGGCAGGCATTGCAGGAGTGAAGGATCTATGAAAGCACAGTGAATCAGCTGCTGCTAGACAAATGGAGATAGCTCAGTGGGGAATGTAGAGAGAACAAGATCCATATGGGTGCAAATATATGTTCGGTGTTAAAAATCAGGAAGATCTGTTAGATTGTTATGTGAACTGGGGAACCAGAGGGATTATCTGAGCATGGGGGAGATGATTGTATTTCTCTATGAGAAAAAAGAACAGCAGCAGCATTTTCTACATATGTTGGATTCTGAAGAATAGAATTTGTAGAGGTCATAGGAAGGACGTTACAGTAATCAAGATCAGAAAACATAAAGGCTCGGATAATGATTTCATTAGAAATGGTGTAAAGAAGCAGTAACACTTGTGGACAGTATTCTAAAAGTCCTTATAGACAGGTAGGGGAAAGAAAGCAAACTCATGGTCAAAGATAAGGAGTACTTGTGGCACCTTAGAGACTAACCAATTTATTTGAGCATGAGCTTTCGTGAGCTACAGCTCACTTAAGTGAGCTGTAGCTCACGAAAGCTCATGCTCAAATAAATTGGTTAGTCTCTAAGGTGCCACAAGTACTCCTTTTCTTTTTGCGAATACAGACTAACACGGCTGTTCCTCTGAAACCTGTCATGGTCAAAGATGTTTCCAAGGTTAGAGACAATGGAAGCAAATGTGAAGTTTGAGTTAAGAAGGAAGATAGAGAGGATGGAGTTATGCTGAGGGGGCTCCTGTTGCCCATGGGAAGCACATATTTTGTTAAGAAGTTGTTAGGATTCAGGATTATTCCTAAAGATGTGGAATTATTTTTACTGGATACCTGGTCAGGTGAGTCCTATAGTTCCATCCCAGAGATATAAAAGGGTTTGAGCCTCTCTGTGAGAGAGGGAGAACTAGGAGCAAAGATGGAGAGGCCCTGCAGGGAGAAACCTCAGGAAAAAGCCAACTTCAGACTGAGTTTTCTGTACTGTTATTTCAGTTAATGGAAAAGGGAAAGCCGCAGAATGGGGACAAGTTTGGATACTAACCCACTGTGGTTTTACTTTATTGAAAACAGAATAGGGATCCTGTCTGTTCACAGTGGGCCAAATTCACCATTGTCCTACACCATATGCAGTCATTGATATAAGAGCAAAATGGGTGTAAAACTACCAAATCAGAAAAAATATTTTACAGTCACTTTGCATTCACTTCTCACAGGTGTAATGACTACCAAGGTGTGAGTCAGTGGAGAACCATGCCCCTCAACTTTTACCTTGTTAAAACTGAAAGGTCCTGAGCCACAAAATTAAGATCTGGATTTTGAACACCCCAAAAGGTGGGGTTGATTGCAATAGGGGGCTCACCATTTTGCTAGGCTGTCTCAAATTCACACCCTTTTCCTCTGGGGTGGAGAACCCTTCTTCTACCTTTGTGAAGTCAGTAAGCAGGAAGAATTACAACACACAGCTATATCCCAACACCTTTATCAGCCTTCATGAATGGAGCTGTAGTGTTAATAAAAGGAACAATTTGAGAGTCCCATGTAGTCAATTACCACAGGAATTATGCACCAAGCCTCAATGCAATAAACTCGAGATGCTAATAAAATATTAGGATATTAGGAAAAACTTTTTCACTCGGAGGGTGGTGAAGCACTGGAATGGGTTACCTAGGGAGGTGGTAGAATCTCCTTCCTTAGAGGTTTTTAAGGCCCAGCTTGACAAAGCCCTGGCTGGGATGATTTAATTGGGGATTGGTCCTGCTTTGAGCAGGGGGTTGGACTAGATGAACTCCTGAGGTCCCTTCCAACCCTGATATTCTATGATTCTATGATAAAAGAGGTCTTACTCCATTGGTAACCAAACATGCCCAAGTGTATCACCAACCTCGGTCCCAGGTTAGGGACACCTCTTTCCCATTGGATTGGTGGCCAATGTTTCTATAAAGGATGAGCTCACACCAGCCAGTTTCTATTCCTCCTGTCATCCCCAGGGGTCTGACGTTATAGGTGGAGTACTAGTCAGGGCTTCTCCAAGCAACTGGATCTTCCCTTGCCTGCAGTCACTCAGTCCCTGCTGGCTGCCCTGGTTACACCTCTGGTCCCACCTTCTCTCTAGGCCAGCCTCACAGCCCTTATGTTTGGGTTGTGGTTGGGCCTGCTGTGGTCCAGCAGCAACATCATGTGACCCCTGTCTGCAGCTCACATCATGCAGTCTCCTCCAACTGATAGGCCAAGAGCTGTCCAACTGACCTATAACCATCTATAACTGTCCCAAACTTGCGGAAGGGCAGATTCTCCTCTGGAGTAGCATCTCCATCCTGTAATGGCAAGAGGGCTGATAATAGGATATTGGACATGGGTAGAATAACCAATCAGCTTTCTTGGGGATGGAGCGAGAAGCCAGTTCTTCCCCTTGACACACCCCCTAACCAGTCAGAGCTCAGGCAGCAAGGCAGGTGTTTCACAGCAATGGTGCTGCCATGTGGAGCAGGGTTTGTTTTAGGTGCTAGTTCTGGTTTGGATACAATCTAGTTGTGACAAGTAGAGAGCAGGAAAAGACAGGAGAGGAGACATTAAAGGCTGAAAGATATTTGCAGTTGAGTGATATCACAATGAGCTTGGTAAGGATTAAAGATAGAATGATGATGAGCAAAAAAGAACCAGGCAGAGGGTTGAAAAATGACTCTTTATGGGAGTCTGTAGAAGAAGGACCTATGAGCAGAAGAGAAATTGCCACCAGACAGAAAGAGGGACGGGGGGGAGGGAAGGGGGGGGGAGAGGGCGGCGAGGAGAGAGAGAGATGGACATTTTATAGGTCAGAACTATGACTCTGGAAAGAGTCAGAGACACCTACAAAACCTTAGTATTGGAAAGGAAATTACATTGTGGCATTTAAATTAAGACTTTAATTAAAGACTTCATTAAGCTAAAGGCAACACTTACTCTACTGAGTTTATTACTCTAATTCCAAAGCTTGGAATATGAGCTACCCAAAGTAACATTACTGACTCAGAAAGTAAATTGCTTACCAAAGTTTGATTTCTAAATTGGGACATTTTAATGACTATTCAATGGATTGTGAATTTTAAACCAGTTTGTACGTAAAGCATATTTAACTATTTTCACACAACTCCTTTAATTTGTTTTGAATATTTTCATATAAGGGGTAAAATCTCTTATTTAAGGTTTTTTTGTGATGTGAGATTTTATTTTTCCAGAAAACAAAGGCTCTTTGCTTAAAACAAAATAAAAACTTGCTACAGTTACTTTACTGTTAATTTATTCTCCCATTTTTCTTGCTTTTCCTCTTCTGGTCTTCCCCTCACAGATAGTGAGATCCAGCTCAGACGAGACATGGTCTTCTGCCAAAGTCTGGTGGCCACAGTCTGTGCTTTTTCAGAGCAACTAATGGCTGCCTTAAATCAGATGTTTGACAACAGCAAAGAGTATGAAATGGAGACTCAAGAGGCCAGCAGAAGGTGGTTGGAACAGATAGCTAATGCAGGTGTCCTCCTTCACTTCCAGTCATTGCTGTCACCTAACCTGGTAAGAATCTCATGCAGTAACCACATGAGTCAATATGACAGTGCTGAATAAGGGCAGCGCGAAGCAAGGTGCATTATGTTTACAGTATCTTGCAGCCTTTGTGTTTAGCTCATGTACTTTATTAGCTGCTATTCAGGAAGTTTGCGGTTCAAATAATTACTGATATGGGAAATTAATAATGTTGCTCACAAACATAATGTTATGTTTCTGTTTCAAGGTACTAGATACTGAGAAGGTGTATGAGGAACACATAATAGTAGCGATTAAAAAATCCAATTTGCCATTAGACACCACACAGCTATTTCCCCTCTTAACAATAAGTATATATGAGGTGATCACCATAGCTTCAGTCACTGTAATTAGCAATATAAGGAAAATACAATACTCATTATGTATTTTTAACAGAAAATCCCCACTTTCCCTTGGTAATTCAATTCTAAGGGCTAAATCTTCAGTCTCGCTGGGGCTGCTTTGCCGCGAAGGTGGCACAAACCAAACTGAAAGTTGATGTAACCAGTCAGTAGGAATTCAGCAGGGAATCCACAGGTAGACCATTATTGCTCGTTTGCCACCCTTCCCACTGCCCTTGGCAAAAGGGTCATGACTGAGAAAAAAGGGTCATAGCCAAAGCACCCCCTCATTCTAGTAATCCCTGGCTGCCTGCATGAATCCCTGAGGCTACTTTAATTCACTTAGCAGACTAGACTGGTATCTGGTAGTCTGATGATCAGGGAGCTGGAAAGCTGTTTTTACAATGTCCTCTGCAGTCACTCCTCCCCTGAGCTGCTAGGTGCCAAATGGCTGGTCCTGAGGATTGGGCCTACTGGTTTGGAGAGTCAATCTCTAACTTCTTATTGTGAAAGCTTGAGACCTTTTAATATAGTGTCCTCTGTATTTGCAGTTGTGTTTTACCACCTTCTTAGATGTTGTAATTCTGTCACAAGGTAACCATTACCACAGGTACACCATAACTTGTGGATTTTGCTTCAAGGCTCAAGAGATTGCTCCTGTGTAATTAAAATCCCACATTATTTAAATGTTATTTTCGTGTACTCATATATTGGAAATAATAGTCAGGAAGAATTGTTCCAATTATGCAATTTTAAATTAAAATTAACATTAGTCAGTTTTGTAAAGTTTTTTTTTGTGCACAAAAAAGGAGTGCTGAGTTATTTCAGTAATAACATTCATCACTTCAGGGAAAAGTCTTTAAGAACAACTTTTTCAGTATTTTCTAACCAAGCATTCAGGATACAGATGATCCATGTTACTTTAAACAAGGGCTTGTGAGGGCAGTTATACTGATTACATCTGGATTTCAATAAAGAATGAACAATTTTGTAAAGATTTCCCATGTGGTTGAATGGTATTCGGATTACTCTGGTGATAAAAATTGCCTTCTCTCCAGGGGGTTAATAAATTGAACCATTAGGTAAAATGTTGCAGGCAGAATCCCTTCTTCATAAATACATGGGAAATACTATTTTAGTTCATGGAACAGGGAAAATTGTTTTTTCCCGTCTGTGTAAATCAGTAACATTCAGCTAATTCTCATGTTATAGGGATTATGTTTATTGCCGTCTGTTTTGTTGTTCATTTATTAACTGTTTCAGTGCTTGCAGAAAGAATTAAATACACATCAGGTTTACATTTGTCTGCTTGATAGTTTAGCACAGAAGGGACGGTAATATGAATTATTTTAACTGAGTATTGATTCTGCTGTGACTGCTCTAAGTATTTACTTCCAGGCTATCTATATTTGTTGGTGAATACTTCCCTTGTTAGCAGAGATCCAATAAAATATCTTGAAAGGTTTATAATTTACTTCTTGAAGTTGTAATGAGATACGAGACTTGATTTTCAAAGGGTAAGATTTTCCATCATTTTGGTTTGAGAGTTCACAAAATCTGAGCCTGCAAAAATGAAGTACAGGTGCCAATCAGAACATTGACATATCTAGCTACTTGATTTGCATCCACAATTGGGTAGGTTATGGTGAAAATTACTCTCCCATTTTCACCCACATTTGAGCTGCCCATTCAACTGCTGGCACAAAAAGTTCCCCTCAAGCACATAAACTGGAACTTTTGAAAATCTAGCCCACTATCTGGGCTAGTTAGTCCCTGATAGTCCCTAGATAGTCCCTGTCCCTGATTTTTACTAAAAATGTCCATGACAAAACAGGGAGGGAGGAGGGTTGAGCACCTTGCCCTGCTGTGGCTGGGAGCTGTGGCCCCTGCCCCATGGTTGGGAGCTGGGAGGGACCCCCAGCTGGGGAGCTGCGGGGGATTCCCTGGGGACTCAGGAGGTCTGGGGGATTTCCCCAACCAGGCGGCGGAGCTGCGGGGGTTCCCCTGCCGCTTGTGGCAGCTAGGGAGCTGCAGGGAATTTCCTGCCTGCCGGAGGGGACTGGGTTGCTCTAGGGGAATCCCCCCCACGGAGGCTGGGGAGCTGCGTGGGAGCCCCCTCCCCCATGAGGACTGGGGAGCTCCGGGGGATTCCCCCGTCGGCAGTGGTGGCTGAGGAGCTGCTGGGGATCCCCTCTGCCTGCAAGGACTGGGGAGCTCTGGTGGTTCCCGCCCTCCGTGGAAGCTGGGGAACTGCATGGGAGTGGCCCCCCACCCCCATGGGGACTGGGGAGCTCCAGGGGATTCCCCACCGCCTGCGGGGACTGGGGAGCTCTGGGGATTCCCCGCCGCCCGTGGGGACTGGGGCACTCCGGAGGTTCCCAGCACCCATGAAGACTGGGGAGCTCTGGGGATTCCCCCCTGCCCATGGCAGCTGGGGAACTGCGGGGGACCCCTGCCACTCCAGGCAGCAGGCTACCCCGCAGCTCCCAGCCACCACAGGAGGTGGGGGTACCCTGCAGCTCCCAGCCACTGCGGACTGAAGTTACGGAGGTTTGCAGAAGTCATGAATTCCGTGTCTTCTGCGACCTCCATGACCAAATCATAGCCTTAATAACGATACCCATATTTTGACAGAACAGTGATTTTCAGCCGCTCATGACCTTTTATATGACACCTTGCAAGGAATTCCTTGTATGAAATATCACAACCATATACAAATGATGAGTAAGGGGGTTACAGGGTGCTATTTTAAAACACAATGCGTCACAATAACTAGAAGAATTTTGAAAATCTAGGCTTAGTGTCATATACATTGTAAGCTTGCTCATTTACATACATAACTAAAAATGCAGTTTGATTAAATGGTAGCTGTAAATTAACTGGCTGTATGTGCAAAATAGCTTAATAATTTCAGTTCTAATTTCAATTTTAATAATCATTTTTTTGCCAGTAGAAGAGGGAGTGGAAACCCAATAAAAACAAATCCATCATCTGGTATTCATGAAAGTTAGTTAGATTAATAGTTCAGTGAAGCAGGGTGTAACTTTCTACAGTTATTTTTGATGCTCATGTTCTATATGATTTCCAGTATGGAAACATCATGCTAACATCACATAATATTTATTTGAGAAGAGATTTTTTTTTCCTTTTTCCAGACTGATGAACAAGCCATGCTAGAAGATACATTGGTTGCTTTGTTTGACCTGGAAAAAGTTACTTTTTATTTTAGACAGTCAGAACCAGAACCACTAGTTGCAAGTAAGTAAGGAAGTATATTTATGAGATTTATTGTTCTACAAACAAACAGTCGCATGTTAGATATGTTTAAAGTGATACAATGTTTTTCTCTTCTGGAGCATCTCAGCTCATGGGCAAATGTCTTAATTTGGGAATGACATGGGCCAGGTGGCTGGGAATGGAATAACAGAGCCTTTCCTCACTAGATCGCCTGATATCCAGCAAAGGTCAGTCACGATGAAAAGTAATTATTATTTGGCAGCTGTTCACAAGCCTCAGTAAACGATTGGTGGTCTCACTGAAGCCACTGGATAAGTGACCATTCCAGAAAAAATGTCCAGAAGAGCTAGTTTTCACTGAGGAGCAGTGTGTAAAAGAAGTTATGAGAGGACGGAAGAACATTAGAAATTGTTCGCATCTACATCATCAGTGACACATCATCGGTGAGAAGCCTGGTGCTAGAAAAGGCGATTGACTTCTGAGTGAGAAGAGGCAGATGGTATTTCCTCCAGGGTTCTGTCAGTCAGGGACAGCTTTACATTGTCAAGAAGTGTCCTCTGAGCCCTGCTGGTACAGGCTACTGAAATGTGCTGAATCAGAGCATCCCCCATGGCCACGCTACTCTTGGGGATGCACTGACTGACTGCCGATTCCTGGTGGAGGAGAGGTTACAGCCTTTTTCTGCCTCTGCACCGCCCTCTTGATGTTCAGATCCTGCTGTGAATTTGGCACAGTGAATGAAAACATGCTTTTCCAAAGTCTCATAACTCAGCATGGGGAAAAGTGTGTCTGATTAACTTCAAGCTTTCCAAACAAATACTGCCCTGGGGATAGAGATCACACAAGGTAACTTTTACAGTAAAAAGACCCCAAAGGTACTAGTGAGAGAGGGTGTCAGCACTCCCAGAATTCAAGTACCACCTTACAGCCATGAGTGTTGCCAGGGTTCACATTTGCAGAGCTGCTGGTGAGTGAGGATTTGATCCATATACTACTTCTGCTGTGTTGGGATGAACAAGTCTGGAGGAGATCCCATAGCCCTGCTTCAACCACTTTTAAGAAGAGGTCCCATTAAGCCAGACATCAATCCAAGCTAGGGTGGAGGGTCAGCCTGGACAGCATTCCTAGTTGGGAGCAGATTAGTTGCCAGTGTTATGCAGTGCTCATATTGCCTCCCTTCCCATGGAAAAGTCTTTCTCATATATGGTGATATACAAAGATCATATGTGTAACATTCAGGTCAAAACAAAATTGCAACAAACTCTATTTCAACCTTTAATTTAAATGCCACCATCACAACTATCCAAACTTCATGGTTTCATGGAGAAGGAGATTTTGGTGGCAAATTCAGCTTTTCGTTTACGGCAAAGCATAATTACCAAAGTTAAATGAAATTAATTATTTCTTGAGGCCAAAAAATAGTGACAAGTTGCGATTTGACCTCCTTTTCTTGGAAATGCAAAATCATAATCTACTAGCATCAATATCAGTAATCTACAGGTTGTAGTTTGTTTAAATTTTTAATTTAAAATTATAACTGGAAATATGTATGCATTTTTATTTGAAGTAAGCTGCTTTAACTCTGCAAATGTTAAGGTTAGGGCATGTCTGCACTTTGATCTGGGGGTGTAATATGCAGCTTGAGTAGATATACCCATGCTGGCTTTGGTTTACCTAGCATGCTAAAAATTGAGGGTAGCCATGGCAGTATGAGGAACAGGACACTAGCGGCCCTGATTACATACCTAGCAAATCTTTTAATAGTTTCACCTTGCTAGATACATATTCAGGGTGGCTAGTCCCTCATTGCTGCTTGCGCCATTGTGGTTATGCTCTATTTTTGACGCACTAGCTCAGTCAGAGCTAGCACAGGTATGTCTAGTTAAGCTGGGAATTACACCCTGAGCTCAAAGTGTAGATGTACCCTTAGAGTAAAAAGGGTAAATTTTCACTGGCTTTTGCTAATGGCAGTTGCATGCTTACTCACCTGCACAGCATTGAAAATGTACTTTGGGGAGTCATTGCAAATGGTAGACCAAGAGGCATTAGAAGATCTAGGAATCTAAACCAATGTGAATAGGAACTTCCCGTTTAATTCAGTCTGACATCTGGTGTGTCAGTGTGTAATGAAACATACCATTATATAATTTTATGTATTGTACAGTAAGAAATCAGTTGTCAGAAAATGAATCTCCAATTTAACTATTATTCATTGAATGGTTCTGTAGTTATGTGTTCCTCAGCTTTATGCATTACAGAAATTCTGATGTGAGGAGGCCATGGTTCAATGACTAGAATTAATACCATGGGACACTTTCTTAGCTACACAGAGTTTATACTTGGCATCGCTGAGGAGAGGGGAGTAAAAGGTGGCTGTAAGGCATCTGTCTACTCCACTGATCCTGGTCTGGCTAGAGGTCCAAATGGCCCCAAGCATAACTTAAAGAAGCCTATGGGTTGCTTTAATTCATGCCAGCTGCAGTGATCGCACACGGTCTGCTGTTCCAGATGGGGATCAAAAAAGCAGTATGCACTACACCCCACTCCCTCCTGCCACTGGCATGCTTCCTCCCCACCCTTCATAGACCTGTGGGAAAGTAGGTGGTGTAGAATCACCTTTACACCACCTGAAGACTCCCCTCTGTTGCAGGAACCTGTGGTGGGCTGTTAAGGCACCTTTCTGCCTGCCTTGTGATGGTGTTGCATTGCAAAGCAGGCAGAATTAGGGACAGGAATTTGGCTGTGTATAATTTTGAGTGTAACATTCTTTCTAGTTTTTGGAAGAGAAAATATCACATAGTTGTTGGCTATTAATAAAATGGCAATGTTAAATATTTTCTTAGATGTTCCAATCACATATCAAGCAGAAGGAAGCCGGCAAGCTTTGAAGGTTTACTTTTATCTTGATAGTTACCATTTTGAGCAGCTTCCTCAAAAGCTGAAGAATGGAGGAGGGTTTAAAATCCACTCAGTACTTTTTGCACAAGGTAATTCTTTTCTATACCTTCAAATACCTTTCTATACCTTGAAAATCTGAAGTCTTATCTTAGCTATGATTCCGCAAGGTTCTTAATCGCATCTGTAACTCTGAGCACATGAATAGTTTCATTAAGTTCAGAATTAGGGCCTCAATTCAAATACTTTGTTGAATTGTGGTTCTAATTCTGAGATGAATTTTAATTTTAAGGGAATGAAGTATATTTTTCATATAAACTCTTCTAGAGTTTACTTCTGAGTTTAAACCAGTCATACTGACACAGACTGCAGAGAATAAGTGGATTATCTTTTTGTTTGTTTTTTTTTGTAAGTTCATTCAATGTGAATGTTAGTGGGCAATTCCCAGACCTGGAAATTCTCTTAAATTGAAAAGAAATTTCATTTTCCAAATGAATAAAGCAAGAAAAAACAGGTAAAGGACGAAGGTGATATCAGCTTTGATTCTTCTTTAAAACATATGGAGAGTTAAATATCCTTTCCAGGTATCTGTTGCCATGACACCACAAACATTAGTGAAAGGATGAATGGCATTGATGCTGTTTGTAAATTGCATATTCCCTACAGTGAGTAGTGGTGTCATTATAGTCATCAGGACCATAGGGTTTGATTCACCAAAGTGGTGAATGCCTCCTGCCAAGTGCTGATTGCCTTCAGCTTCCTTTGACTTCAGTGGGAGTTGAGAGCTCTCGGTATGTTGCAGGAGGTCTTGGCACACACACGGAAGGGGCTCATAAATCAAGTAAATGAAGGAAAGGAAGAATTAGTGGAAACTTTTGATCTAATAAAAAGTAAGTACTATACAAAAATATTTAAAGGTGAATAGCAAACCCTCAGTCTAAAGTCAAGACAAATACATCTTTGAAAGTAAAAGGTGTTAGCTCAATTTTAAATGAAGTCCCAAAGAAAAAGTTGAATGATTTTTCATTTAAACTATTTATAGATTTAAATTCACCCAATGGAGGGGCAATGAGGAGACTGAATAACAGCAGGAACATCTCAGCTGATGATGAGATGATAAAGACAAACAAAGAATGGGAAATAGCTTGGCTCCAATATGATCTTGAAAATATTAATGGTTTTTTTCTTGTACAGAAAGTGTTGCAGAATTGCACAGGAATTGCCCATGTCTTTTTACACGGAACAGGGCAGTAGTGTCAGGCAACTGGGATGAGGGCTGTCAAGCCTATTGTTCAGAGCAGGCGTCATACCTAATGGTTGGAGCAGGCATCAGTGGTCAGAAGCTGGAGCCAAGGGTCAGACCGGAGGACAGGAACTGGATACCTGAACCCAGGGTCAAGCCAGAGTCAGTAGTCAGGAAACAAAGCCATGAGTCAAGCTGGAGGTCAGGAACTGGAGCAAGGAGGGATTCAAGGCAGGGCAGGACAGAGGCAAGGCTGGGTGCAAAGCAGGAGCAGCAGAAACTAGGTAACGCAGGAGACTTCACAATGGTGGGCATGAGCATCAAGCAGTCAGCTAACTGCTTCTGCTGGCTTAAGAGCCGCCCTGTAGACCCCTCCAGCCAAAGAGACGGTATGGTCAGCTTGCTGCAGGCCAGCTGTACCTATGAGGCTGCCTGGAGACTAGCTGTGTTGCCAGTCCTGATTCCTGACAGGTGGTTGGATATTAAGACATGCCCCCTGGTCTCAGTGTCCAAGTTCAGACATGGCACTAGCTGTGTTCACCATCAGCTAGTTTGAGGAAGGGAACAAGAGACCAGGATTCCCAGAATGCCCAGATATTTAATAATTTGCAGTATTTAAACTCCTGAGATTTCTTTATTCACTATCCTATCAAAATGTCACTGAGAAAATCCATTTTACTTCACTGGTGAGGTTGGCTTTGTGAAATCAGCCATTTTCATCCACATCTGTATGGGATCTGGGATCCATGTTAAACTCTATACCTTTCTGAAAAATACTCTGAAGAAGGGGGAGAACCAGATGCCCTGCATAACACCCTTTTCTTCCTTCCGATCATTACTTTACCCAGCAGCAGAAGGTAGACATGCTATCCTTCTAGTGATGACAAAAGTCTTACAGACTGATACATTGAACTAGTCACTTCACTCCCGTTTTTCTTACACGCACAGTAAGCTGTGACCAGTGATGAGCTGCCAAAATCTTAACAACCGGTTCCCTCCTCACACCACGAGGGGGTCGTGGCCCACCCCCGCCCCCTGGGGACTCCTACCCCATCCACCCCCCTCCCCTGTCCCCTGACTGCCCCCAGAACTGGGCAGGAGGGTCTCGTGGGCCACCGTAGTGGGTGCCCACCCCACTCCTAAGAGCTAGAGGGACTTGCCGGGGGGCGAGGTGGGGAGTCCCGGAGGTGCTTACCTGGCGCAGCTCCCAGGAAGCATCCGGCAGGTCCTTCTAGCTCCTAGGGGTGGGGGAGCATAGCTAGGGGGGAGCAGGGGGAGCGGCCGCTCCTCTCACCCCGTGCCCAGCCCCAGCTGACCTCCGCTCCGCTCTGCCTCCTCCCCTGAACGCGCCGCCCCGCTCTGCTTCTCCGCCTCCCTCCGCCCCCCCGGCTTCCCGTGAATCAGCTGTTCGTACGAGAAGCCTGGGAGGGCTGAGAAGCAGGCGGTGGCTTTGCGCTCAGGCCAAGGGAGGCAGAGGCAGAGCGGAGGTGAGCTGGGGTGGGGGGTACGAAGAGGGCCGCCCGCGCCGCAGCAGGTAACTGGGGGTGTGTGCGCAGGGGAACCGCTCCCCGCCCCAGCTCACCTCCGCCTCCCTGGGCCTGAGCGCGGAGGTGAGCTGGGGCGGGGAGCGGTTCCCCTGCACACCTGCCCCCCCCCCGGTTACTTGCTGCTGCACAGGCGGCCCTCCTCGCGCTCCCCCACCCCAGCTCACCTCCGCTCTGCCTCTGCCTCCCTGGGCCTGAGCACAAAGCCACCGCCTGTTTCTCAGCCCTCCCAGGGGAGGAGACGGAGGCAAGCTGGGGCCAGGCGTGGGGTGGGGAGCTGCCATTGGGTGCTCTGCCACTTTTGGCTGGTTGTTAAATTTAGAAGCCCTTTTAGAACCGGTTGTCCCTCCCTGGGCCTGAGTGCAAAGCTGCCGCCTGCTTCTCAGCCCTCCCAGGCTTCCTGCACGAACAGCTGATTCACGGGAAGCCGGGGGGTGGGGGTGGGGGGGGGGCAGAGAAGCAGAGTGGGGCAGCACGTTCAGGGGAGGAGGCGGAGGCGGGACAACCAGTTCTAGCTCACCACTGGCTGTGACTCATTTTCACATCAGTTTTATAATGACACACTATCAAAGCTTTGATCTTCATTTACACTGGCTAACAAGAAACTGCTCTCCAAATCTAACTGAAATCTGTTCGTGATCAAGAGAGAAAATGCCATCTCTTCAAGAACTGAGCATTTTGTAGATGCAGCTGTTCATTTTGGGGGGATGGGGGGCAGAAATTCTTGCTTTCTGAGACTCAGTAGAGCCAAGCTATTTTCCAGCCTAAATACAGAGTCTACATAGTGTTGTGGTATAAAAGATTTTTAGCAGCATGACTTTGGAAAGGGTTTTTGTTACTTGCAGGATGAATACATGAGTCAGTGAAGGTCACTTCAAATGAGTGACACTTAAATCTTCATATTACACCATCATGTGTTTTTTATGGGCTACAGACAGTATTTTACAGAAGAAAAAAAAACAGTTTTAGTCCCCATTCCTGCAAATACACAGGTACTTAACCTTATGCTAGTGAGTAGTCTAACTGAGTTCAAATGTATAAAGTTAATCATGTATATAAACAGTTGTAGGATTGGGGCCTTAGAAAATTTGTAGAGAGCTTTAAAAATCTTTACCATGTCTTATGTATCCCTCTACCTGTAAACCAGACTTTCTAGATCCATGTGACTAACTATACAGCTCTCAAAAGGGCAGAAATTATATCTCCTTGCAGGATCAGAGCGTGTGTGTGTGTGTGAATATGATATGTGTGTACAAAAGAGAGAGGGAGAACATATGTGGGGATGTTTCTATTGTCATAAAGTCTTCTGAATTCCCAGGGCGTGAGTTTATATCTACTGAATAAATAAGTTTTAAAAAAATCAAACTCTTTATTTCAGATTTACATTTGCAGTTGAGCTAATTAACCTTCAAAACTAACATTTGTATTTATTTTTAACATTTTTTGGCAGTTCACATTTAACCTCAGTCTAGACTTTTCTATTCTAGTTTTAAATATCCAAAACAGAAACCCCTCTCTTCTCTGCATTACAATGCCCTGCTCCCTCTTTAAGGGGAGAGCAAAACTGTTCTACACAGTAAGGTCCCAATTCTGCAACAGAACCTACTAACTTGGACACCTACAACCATGCAGATACCATTGCGGACAGTGGGCCCCTCCACCTGGGCCCTGTCTGGTTAAGCTCAAGACGGACATATTAGGAGGCAATTTGATCATCAGTCTTTGCCATCTTTCGTACAGAAGCAAAATTATGAACTCTATAAGTACTCAGAGGAACTGTGATTTGCATGTTCTTGAACAATGAATGAATTATTTACTGACTGGTCACATTAAGAATTGTCAGCAGAATTAGTGTTTGGTGTGCAACTGGGGCTCTGAACCTGCAAGTTGTGCCCATAAGAATTCTGCTATTTAGATGCATTTTCTGATCGTTCTCTTGGGTAACTAACTCTTAAAAATTTGTACAGATTATTATTAAAGTGGCAGGGTTCCTCATTGCAAAATCTTCAGTGCTTCTACCCTATGTGTATTTTACTGAAGTCCCATTTCTATATTATGAGATTAATCTAATAATATGTGAATGTGAAGATCTTGATTTCTCAGCTCCACACTCTTACGTCTTTTGAAGTAGGTATGACTCAGGCTGTTAAATCATTTTTCATAGCTATCTAAATTAAATTGTGTTGTTTTTTTTAACTAGAGCTGGCAAAAGTGTGCCAAAAGTAGAAGGGTTAAACAATTTACCTCAGTACCCATCACTCTGTCATTTTTCACTTCTACCCCCCTCCATTTAATTTAATTTTAGATGTATATACATTAACTAACAAGGAGTCAGAGTAAAGTTTACATGACACTGAAAACATTTCTGATCCCAAAGGAGAGATTTTTTTCAGTCCACAAGGCATTTTCCAAACAGTACGGAAAAGTTTTTGAGTGGAGTCTGGTCCTGAGAAATACTGAACACCTGAAACTTTCAAATAAAACAACTGGAGTTTCAGGGTCTGCACATATCCCAAGATCAGGCCTAGTAAAAGAGAGTCATTGTGTGTCCCTTCCTTTTCTATAGCCTAACCACTGCTACAGTATCTCATTTTACCAGAGATTTCCAAGGTCACCTCAGAACTAAAAACTGTTCTAAATAGTGCCTGTGTATTTACATTCAGAGGGCAGAATCACTCTAATTAGAATCACAGAACTGATATTGGCCCTGTCTTGTACAGTTTTTCTTAAGGGCAAGAAGTATTTTTATTTTTAAACAAAATCTTAGAGAAAGATCTGTGGAAATTTGATGACACACAGAAACAGCTTTGCAATCAATGTTGAGGGTCACAGCTTCAAGATTAAGAAGTATGGCACTAGACTGCAGACAGGTTCTAACTGCAGAGAAAGAGTATAGTAAATATTTAATACTGATTTTTTTCCAGCACTGGAGAGCATGGAAGGATATTATTACAGAGACAATGTGTCGGTAGAAGAATTTCAAGCCCAGATTAATGCAGCCTCACTGGAAAAGGTCAAACAGTATAACCAGAAACTCAGGTAAGTGGTGAGCCAGCCTTCCCTGTGGTGGCTATGTAGACTTTATATTTTAAATTAACCTAAATCAGACATTCTCAGATTTTGATCCATGGAGCACAGATAGTTCACAGGGCACTGGCTGGTCTCATGGTTCTGTCTCTCCTCATTCCATTGCTAAATTGCACTGAAAGACAAGTAAAAATAATGAAATTGTTTCCTAATATTTTTCCCCCTACACTATTAGCATAGTTGCTGCAGGGTTGTTGTTTGATTGCATATGAGAAGGGAACAGTCTGGGTGATCACAAAAGTAATGGAAAGTGATTTCTGAGCCAAGCTCTCTTATAAGCATCCACATAAGTAAAAGTTTGAGAACCACAATCAATGCTCACAATTCTTTATAATGTAGGGAAAATAACCTAGCAAAATGTTAGAGACAAGAAATGATTCCCTTAAAATGTTTTGTAACAGAACTAAAAAATTCTATTTTAATTCTGTGGAAATATTTATTTTTATAAAGAGATTAGGTTTACATTTGATGGGGGAAGGTGCATGGGGGGGGGGGGGGTTAATTTACAGATTGTCCCACAACTTTTAAAGGTGGATATGAACATCCAACACTTAGTGGGAGTTTTTGCGTAATGGGTTTAGATTCGGGTTAATCTCTAGTTTATTTTCTAGTAAACCTAGAAAACTATAATACAACTTCAGTGCATATACTCAAGCAATTCAAGAAATCTATCAATTTCAATTTAAAGTAAGATTGAAATGCCTCACCTAGGACAATCTAGAGTTTTTGTGCATACCAGTTAAATTAATATCTACCTTGAGATGAACACCATAAACTGGTATACTTAAATTCCCTAAAGGACACTGATAAATGCTATATTGCTATATCATGAGTTACAGCTATATGTTGTTTTAATGAATTGATGTATTGATATCAGAATTGTTAAATATTATAATCTAATTTTGTAGGTTTAATTACTTAATTTCTACAGAACAGGATTTAACAGCCCATGCTGTTTTCCTGGAAGCTCATTGTGTCAACAAAAAAAGAAAAATAAACATGGGTATATGCTTCAACTGCAACTAAGAGATATGCACGTGTAGTGTACACTGTACATAAAAAGATCACAAGATGATGCATTCTCATAATGATTCCATGAGGAAATAACTTCCAGTGGAATTTTTCATACAGAAAAAATTCTGCCTTTATTTTGTGTAAAGTAATGGAACAAGCCCAGGACAATAGATATTAGGTGTTTTCACTGCATTTGTGGAAGACATTTCTCTGAGTAGGCTATATTTGTAGATGAATCGCAAAAAGGCTCACTGGAAAATCAAGAATGCAGTAAAATTGTGGCTTTTTGTTTTTCTGGCTTCATGAGGCTGATGAAATCTGTAATGGTATCTGGTTCTCATTAGCTCTGAGAAGGTGGGCGGCTTTTAAAAGAAGAAATGAGAAGTGGGGGAAAGAATGATGAGGTAAAGATGAAGGAGAAAGGGGAAGGAGGAGGAAAGAGAGTCATTCATTCTGAGTCCAGACTTTTCTTAAAGTGACAGTACTTGGACAGGGAACAGTGAGCAGTATTTAAAAAAGAGCGAAGATCCCAGTATTAAATGTACAGTTCCTTCCACTCACCTTTTTCAAGAGGGGTTCTCTGTGCTTTTCTTCTGAAAATATGTCTAGGTGTACATAGTGTTCTTCTGTTTTACCTCATTGATGGACTTTCAGAAATTCCTTTAGGAGTTCGTAAAAGATATTCAATAAAAATTTTGCATTTCCTTTCTGTTTACTATATCTGTGTCTCTGAACTTTTAACCCAACTGTTGTTATAATAATTAGGCACCCGATTGTCTTCACTCTTCCCTTGTTTCATTTACTGTCATCCAGGAGCATGTTCTGTTTCTTCTACTGGTTCCTTTATTGTGGAAGTACTTGTGTGAAACGTGGGTTCTGCAGCTTTCTCTGACCATGGCAACACATGGGCTAGCTTGAGGCCAGCCTTTCACTGAAATTCTACTGCTTCCATACATCAGTCTGACTTCCAAATTATTTGGCTCTTACCCTAGTGGCACAAGACATCTAGTTGAGGAGGTTTACTATCTAAGGGCTTGACCTAAAGCTTACTGAAATCAATGGCAACAATCTCACTACCTTAATGGGCCTAAAAGTGCTGATGCTGCCTGATTCTACTTAGCTTGTGTGAGCTGGAAAGAGCACAGAACAAGGTGACTCTGCTGCTGTGCATTATTACATTCTTGCTATCTTAGTTCCTGCTGCAGCTTTAATGGGATACAATACTCTTAAGGCCATCTTTACTCACAAACCTGACCAGTGGCCAACCTGTAGCACAATATTTTTTCAAAAATTTCACAGGGGGTCAAGTGGGTCTTTCATATTTCAAGTATAGGAAAAAAAACCTGTTATCTCCAATACTAACATGGTAAGTGTTTGTAAGTGCTGACATTTTAATGGTGATCATACCACATCCCATAAATGAGGGACAAGGAATTAACTTCATATGTAATATAATGTGAAAATAGAGTACAAGAAATCCAGGAAAGCAGATGCTAATATTCTTGTTCTGCCAGTTGCTAGTCAGAATAGGTGTTTGGCTGAAGAGACTCTAAGAAAGTAACTACAGCAGCAAAACTCAGTGACATTTGGATAGTAGTTCTCAAATAAAACCATAAAATTGAAATTAAATATCTCATGGAAATGTATGCATGCTCCCTGGAAGTACTGGCAGTATAACTTTTAACTCTGCAGGTAGTAGAATCTACTAGGGCTGTCAAATGGTTAGAAAAAATATTTGCAATTAATCTCAATTTTAATCACACTGTTAATAGAACACCAATTTAAATTTATTAGAAATATTTTTTGATGTTCTACATTTTCAAATGTATTGATTTCAATTACAACACAGAATGCAAAGTGTACAGTGCTCACTTTATATTAATATTTTTTATTACAAATATTTACACTGTAAAAAAGATAAAAGAAATTGGAGAATATGCTTTATTCATCATACATAACAGAGAGGTTTAGTCCCTGCTTTAATTGCAAAGCGCAACCTTAATGATGGAACTCTGACCAGCTTCCTCATAATATCACCAGTGATATAGCAGATATGTTGGCCTAGATACAAAACTGCTCTCTTTAACTCTGAGTTGGGCAGTCATAAAACTTTAATTTTTTACAGTTCTTGTTTTTAGGCTTTTGCAAGTACTATATATCAAAACTGAAACATAAATCATAGGATTTTCAAGAGGAAGCTATAGTACAAGATGTGTATGGAGGAAGGATAGAACCTCCCTCCATTTTTCTTATTTAACTCAACCCTAGCAGTTTTAATCAAATTACTACTACAAGGAACTTATAATTTCAGTGCAGTGAAGTATTAGAGTTGCTACAGAATTCCAGAAAAGATGCATCAACACATAGGAAAACCTTTAGCTGTGTAAAACTGTTACTTCAGAAGTAAATAAATAAATAAAACTATGATTTTTTTAAAAAAACAAATTTCAACATCTGCACCATACTCATTCTTAATGGGTGTGTATTTCTTTTTCACGCTGCCAGCCAGATTGCATTTATTTTTATAGTTAACCAAGTGTCACCATTTCTGTTTCCCTGACACTTGCAGGAAAAAAAAATATCTCTATTTGCAAATTGGGAAGGTGGTGACAGTTGCCAGCACTGTAAATTTATTCTGACCTAAAGGTTTCTTAATGAGAAGATGTTGCACAACCAGGAGAAAACAATTAAGTCAGCAAAGATTTTAAACATCTTTATTACTGTATGTTTGATAACTCAGCAGTTATCTGCTAAGTTAGAGGAAGAATATAAAGAGCTCATTGTTGCTAGCACTGTAGAATGCTGCTGCTCAGTGCTGCTGTTCTTGGAGTTTTGATGTCAGCTGCACTAGCAAACAGCGCTCCATGTTCATTCAGCAGAACTCAATGTTATTCATAAGAAAGACCACAGGCTCGGTTCAGTGGCAAAGGCACTTGGCCAGGTTTATTGTTTTTAGAATATCAGGGTTGGAAGAGACCTCAGGAGGTCATCTAGTCCATCCCCCCTGCTCAAAGCAGGACCAATCCCCAATTTTTGCCCCAGATCCCTAAATGGCCCCCTCAAGGATTGAACTCACAACCCTGGATTTAGCAGGCCAATGCTCAAACTACTGAGCAATCCCTCCCCCACGGTACTAGTGCCCTGTCCAATGGGTCACAGGGACACTAATGCAGGTATGCCTGTGACAAGGTAAAGGCCCACTAGGGTCCTGTCCCTTGGCCGATACAAAGTTGCCCCTCGTATGACTTCTTCTGATACAAGACAGTTACCTATTACACTCCAGATGTTGTTAGTTACCACCCTTATACCTTGTGCTTGCTAGTTCGAACAAAACATCCTCATCCATTATCCTGTCATCCCATCCTTAACTTACAAGGGGTCAGTGTATTCCTGTACAATTGCTTGGAAATTTGTTTACATTGTTATTTGAGAACTTTGGGTATTCTTGTTCCATCCTCTCCAGTCAGGGAAGTGCTTCCTTCGTTAGCCAATTCCTGCTGTGTTACTATTCTACCAAGGCCAGACCTACTCTGGTTCACAGCCTTTGGTTCACATTTTTAGTTATGCCTAGGGCTCCTGCAAGGCCTACACTCGTATGCCTTAGTGATACAGTAGCTGATATATAAGTGACCTCATCCCATCTCCTGATGTCCCTCATGCCCAGTCTTCTCCTGAACCTCTCGCTTTCTTCTGACTGTTTCCCCTCACAATACAAGCATATGCTAGTCTCTCCCATCTTAAAAAATACCCTTTAGTAGAGCTGAGCATTTTTTTCAGCAAATAAGTATTGACCAGAAATACATTTTTTGGTCAAATGACATCATTTGCAAATTCAGGTCAAATTCAGCAAATAGTTTTGGTCTAATTAAAAAAAAATGTAAAGAATGTTCTTGAAAAAGTCTAAATGGTCCATTTTGATGTTTTTAAATGAAATGCTT